AATTAGAGAAATCAGTGACTCATTAAAAAGGAACAACATCAGATTCATAGGGGTCCCAGAGGAGGAAGAGAGAAATAGGGGTAGAAGGGTTATGTGAGCAAATCATAGCAGAAAACTTTCCTAACCTGGGGAAAGACACAGACATCAAAATCCAGGCAATACAGAGGACTCCCATTAGATTCAACAAAAACCGACCATCAACAAGGCATATCATAGTCAAATTCACAAAATACTCAGGCAAGGAGAGAATCATGAAAGCAGCAAGGGAAAAAAAGTCCCTAACCTACAAGGGAAGACAGATCAGGTTTACAGCAAACCTATCCACAAAAACCTGGCAGGCCAGAAAGGAGTGGTGGGATATATTCAGTGTGCTGAATCAGAAAAATATGCAGCCAAGAAGTCTTTATCCAGCAAGGTTGCCATTCAAAATATAAGGAGAGATAAAAAGCTTCCCAAAAAAAATTAAAGGAATTTGTGACCACTAAACCAACCCTGCAAGAAATATTAAGGGGGACTCTCTGAGGGGACAAAAGATGAAAATATATATATATTATATATATACCAAAAGCAACAAAAGATTAGAAAGGACCAGAGAACACCACCAAAAACTCCAACTCTACAAGCATCATAATGGCAATAAATTCATATCTTTCAGGACTCACTCTAAACGTCAATGGACTCAATGCCCCAATCAAAAGACATAGGATAACAGAATGGATAAGAAAACAAGACCCATCTATATGCTGTTTACAAGAGACCTACTTTAGACCTAAAGACACCTACAGATTGAAAATAAGGGGATGGAGAACCATCTATCATGCTAATGGTCAACAGAAGAAAGCCGGAGTAGCCATACTTATACCAGACAATCTAGACTTTAAAATACTGTATATCAAGAGATGCAGAAGGGCATTATATCATAATCAAGGGGTCGATAGACCAAGAAGACCTAACATTGTAAACATTTAGGTGCCAAATGTAGGAGCACCCAAATATATAAATCAATCACAAACATCAAGAAACTCATCATAATAGTAGGAGACTTCAACACCCCACTCACAGCAATGGACAGATCATCTAATCAAAAAATCAACAAGGAAACAATGGCTTTGAATGACACATTGGACCAGATGGACTTAACAGATATATTCAGAATATACATTCTTCTCCAGTACACATGGAACGTTCTCCAGAATAGACCATATGCTGGGACACCAATCAGCCCTAAGTAAGTACAAAAAGATCGAGATCATACCGTGCATATTTTCAGACCACAACGCTATGAAACTCGAAAACTACCACAAGAAAAAATTTGGAAAGGTAACAAATACTTGGAGACTGAAGAACATCCTACTAAAGAATGAATGGGCTAACCAAG